AGCTAGCTTCGCTAGCTTTCGTGACATTCTGTTTGAATCTCCAGACATCTGCGTCAGGCACGGGTTTCAGTTGACTGCACCAGGGCGAACGCAACCAGCATACCTGCTGGGTGGATACCAAAATGAGCCCAGGACATGGTGGACAGCATCATGCGGAGCAGTGGTCCGCCGTTACAACAATGATTGCGCAACGCTGAAGTGTGCGAAGGGCACCAAGCAGCGGAAGATGTGCCTAACATGCCAATATTTGGAGCAGAGCTGAGAGCTTGAGCCTGGGTTGGTGAGCCGGATAGAATGCTCCAACATTTATCTTAAGGGGGGCGCAGCAGTTCACATGCACAGACAATGTGCACACAAATCACAGCCTTTGAAGCTCGAGTGACGAGATGGGTCCGAATGGACCTCAAACTCTGCTTTCCTCAACCTCACATCCGCAGCAACTTGATCCCACTGCTCAGAGGGCCCCCTGTCAGCCACAGGTCCACCGCACCATCCATGGCCCTACGTAGTGGATCTAGAGGTTGGGATGTGGGATGGAGCACCCCAGCCAGCTCCTGTGGAAACTTCTCCAACAGTGACTGCTCCACCAACACGCTAGCCCTGGGCAAAATAGAGGATAAAGCTTCAGCATCCAATTTGCGGAATGGGCGGCCTTTCCTTCCACAGAAGGGTTCCAACGCGGCCCTGATTTGTGGCATCGTGTGATCAACCACGACAGGTGTCAAGCCATGTTGTTGCAAACTACGTGCTAAGCTGGTGATTGCCAAATACAGTTTGGGAGGTTCACGGTACAGCTCTTTGACTGATGCCATGGCGCAACTATAGGTCAACAGCTGTCTTTCCAATCAGGCTGTCGGGAAGTGTATGGACAGTTTGGAGGAGGAAGACGCCCGAGATAGTGGGAGACTCATGAGATGTCGTTGGGTTCTCACTTGAAAAACAAAACCTGAAGAGTCCATGGAGGAGGCTTCTAATCATGAAGCTTTATACTACACCCTCCCAGCCCCCCCTCTTCCCAAGTTACGTTAACTGGTTACTAGCCATGTGTAGCAACACTCGCCACCTTCGCTGCACTGGAACTTGCTGCGTCTACACTCCTCTACAATCTCCTCCTCCTCCTCCTCAGACTGCTCGCATTCCACAAACATCTCCTCAGTTTGCATCTTGCTCTGCCTCCTCTGACGTTGCCTCCTCTGATAATGTGTGAGCGCAGGATGGCCCAACTCCCCTTCATCATGAAGCTCGTCAGGCTGAATGAGGCCCACCGCAAACTCAACACGAAAATCCCTCAAGGGGCACTTGAGAGTCCATCCGCACTTTGCATTCATTGATTGGTCGGTCAAAGAACTCCAATATAAGTACATTCCCTCACTGGTTGCTCTCAGCCCCCGCGCTCGATGGACTCCACGGGCTGCGCTCTTTTGTGTCCTCTTGCAGCTTGCACAATCCACGTCACTGAACACGTCCATGTACCCTATGTTGCCCTATGGTGTGAACTTCCCTTAATACTCCAAGGTTCCCATCAGATAGCGCGTCACCCGATGGCTGCTTGCACTTCTGTTTTGCTCTCGAAGATCTTTCTGTCAGATCTTGAATGGCATACCGACAGTGTGGCCTGTCTGGTGGTGCATACATCAGGATCATACTGAAATGGGTCCTGGCTCATGTATCTCATGTCTGACTGTGTCTCTGCACCTGCTGAGCTTCCAAAATCATGTCGGAGGCGCAACCACTGCAATTTCGCAATTTGTTCAGTGGCCCGGGGCCAACCGTACAAAAAACGAGTACTCTTCCGCGGCATTGGGGCTTGCAGCCAACATACCGCCCACAAAGCGCAGGAAGTCCTTCGCGCCCACATCAAGAATAGGATGCCGCCCAGACGGATCGACAGCGCTATGGAAATAGATCAACCATTCTTGGTCAATCCCGCCCCGTAGACCAAGCTCTTCACATACGTCGTCGCTTCATCTTCGCTGAAAATTTGCCAGTTGTACACAACAGCCCAGCAATCATGCACTTGAACTTGGGCAGCCCGCACATGCTCATTTCGATACCTGAATTTGTCTGCTTGCAACAGCCCAATCCACCACAGGAATGCTGTTTGCACGTTCATACGGAAACCTACAAGTTTGCTTACCAAAGACATGAGACCTCAGTTCAAAAAAAATCAAAGGGTAAACTACCAGTTAGGCAATAGATCACCGGTTGCCAAGAAAGTCTTGCTTGGTTTTCGCGTTAGGAAAGTGGTGGCTAACTTGTGTGACTTTAGCAAGAATTACAAAACTTACAGCCTCTTATCTTGCTGTCGTGCTAACGCCTGCCGTCCAAGGCTCAAGAAAGCATGCTCTGCAAGAAGCCTGACAGGCAGATAGCACGATTCAAGGTGAACCTTCCTCCTTTCCACTCAAGTCATCAGTCTTCCATGGGTCGATGAGGCCTCCTCCTGTGGTTCCTGTGTTGGGCATCGCGGCATCCCATTACCCTTGAAAGGCGCAGGGGTCTCTGCCTGCCCGAATCAGCGGACTTACCTCACCCTGTCTGCCCGGGAATTTGGCCAGCGCTCCGCGACCATATCGACCATGCAGCGGAGTGGCGTGCCAGAGACGGACCTCTCTTTTCACTTGAGTTTCAAAGGCTGTGATGTGTGTGGTGATCTGTACAGGTAACCTGCTGCAAACTCGACAACAATTCACTCTTCATCACTCGAACTGGGAGCTTTACCTTGCTCTTCATGTCTTTGTCATTTCAGTTTAGCGTCTCCCCTTCTCGGCCCTTCTCGGCCCTTCGATCTCCTCTGTACATTTTCCACTGAAGCGGGAGATCTTCCAGCTTGCTTGGCCACCCGCCTGAAGCCCGAAGCTCCACGAGAGCGTGCTGAGGCTGGGAGATGCTGAGATGAGGTCAGCTGAGATGTTCACGCGAAGACCAGGACATTGCGGATGAGCCTTTGCCAAAAGCTTCTTCAACCTGAACAAAACAAGACCAACCGATCAAAACACCTCTTTAGAGCATGCTAGGTCTTGCTAAGCTCTCTTGGTCTCAACTCTAACTATATACCCTTTACTTTGCTAGAAAGTCGACATGACATGAAATGCCTATGAAGCTCCCTTTTGAATGCTTTTCAATCTGTTCACGTTCTCTTTCTTCCGCTTTCCTCGCAAACCTTGGACTTTGTTCCCCCCCGAACCAAGCTACTCTCGAAGCTTCCCCAGACCTGAACTCCGTGTCCCACTCGAGGTCCAGGTCCAGCGGGTGGGCAAGGCCTCAGAGCTGACGAAACGGCACCGGTCTAAGCCGACGCTGAGCAGGAAGAAGAGCTGACAGAAGCTAAGCAAAACACCTGTACCACTTGCGTTGGGTTTCAAGGTCGGCAAATCCAGATCCTGCCAAATGTCCACAGGACATCGCTGTTGGGTTGGAGGCCATCGCTACTAGCTTGGAGGCCATTGCTATTGGGTTGGAGGCCATCGCTACTAGCTTGGAGGCCATATCGCTACTAGCTTGGAGGCCATCGCCAGTAGGTTGGAGGCCATCGCTACTAGCTTGGAGGCCAGTAGGATGGAGGCCTAGTAGGTTGGCAAAAGCTCCGGGCTGCGACAAATCCCTCCAGAGCTTGCCTTCCTTTCGGTGTCTCTCAAATCCCTTTGGGATGGATTCACCTCAAATGCTTTCGGCTTCAAATGATTGACTGGAATGGTTTCGGCTTCGTTTCAAGTCCTGCCTTCAATGTTTTCTCCAAACCACACACCTCAAGATTCTCAAGTTCAAGCTTCGCATGTACCACTTTTGCCTAGGAGCAAAAACGCTACTAGGGGCTCCTGGCCTTACTACTAGGAGCAAAGGGCATATTGGACGCTAAGAATGCATTTCACCTCAACGGATCAAACAAGACCCGGTCGGTTCCCTCTCAAGAGCCCTAGTAGCGTCCGATCGCTCCTAGTAAGGCCAGAAGCCCCGAACGGAGCGTCCCCTTCACAATGCTCAAGAGCACCTTCTCTAACTTTTGAGTTGCTTCCTGAAGAAGCTGAGCAGACCTCAGAACAGGCAACAAGCGATGTTACTTGGACCTTTGTTTTGTCCCAGGTTGTCCTGAAAGGAGACCTTTTGCAAGAATCGGAAGAATCGCTTCGGAGGCGCTGCGCATTCAGGGTCTTCTCGGAAGCGAGGGACATGCCACTCACCTGACATCGAATGACTTCCGGCGGCTCGACACTGTGTCAATTCGAGCCTCTTCTCCATGTGTCTCTCCAATGGTAAAGGTGTGGCTCACACCTCAAGCGGCAAAAATATAAGTAAAACTAACAAAAACAAACAAACTTCACCAGCGGTCAAGGCATTTGAGAAGGCCAAATCAAGAGTATTTTTGACAGCAAGAGTTTGGAGATCATCTGGAACCTCTTTGTTGACCACCATGTTGGCACAGCAAATCAAGCTCACTGGCAACACAAGCCGTCAAAAACTCAGCACACACCTTCACACCGGAAGTCCAGCATAGTTCCTGAGTTTACGAGTTTTTTTTGTTGTTTTAGCCCAGGGGGTAGGCTGGTAGAAAAGTAGTAGGTAGAGGTGGCCAGTAGAAGCTAGGTAGCTAGTACCTTACTCAAACTACTAGCATGGACGCAGGACAGCTCACGCTTCTTCAAGGAAGCGCTCGCACTATTCATTTGGTTTCTAGATTTTTAGGGAAACTTAACTAATAGCGATGGCCTCCGTCCTAGTAGCCATGGCCTCCAAGCTAACAGCGATGGCCTCCAACCTACTACTAGGACTATGGAGTTGCATACCAAAGAACTGGTAATTGTACCAAGGCTCGACCTCTATGGCGCAGGGTCAGGAACTGGTTGATCTGCGATGTGCGGAAAAGAACGTGTTTCACACATGCGTTGAAAGCTTCCTTGGGAGAATAAAACAAAACTTCGGAGCACCCGCAGCACCAAATCCGTACTGTCAGCATTCTGCGAACTCCTGGGCACTTCCGTGGCCTGTCATCATTCCGAAGATTTGCAAAAACATACAGAAAGCCCACTCGGACAAATATGTTGGAAACATAAAGAAACACAAAAAGTACAAGTTCCTAGTAGCGTCCTTGCTCCCAGTAGCGATGTCAGGAGCCCCTAGTAGCTTCTTGTTCCTAGTAGTGTCTTCGCTTCTTCGCAAAATCACGGTGTCGGAAGATCCCTTCACGCCTTTCCGCCGTCCACCACCGTGATCGCCTTCTCGGAGATCAAAAGCTTCGGCTGAGATCCAGCGCCTCAATGTGACGCAGCGCTTTCGGATGCTTTTGGTCGAGAAAGACACATCCTTTTGCGGCCAGTAAGGATCTGTAGATTGAGGAGAACTAGTAGCTGCTAGTAGCTATTAGGTTGGAGGCCATTGCTATTAGAAACAAGAGAAGGAAGAAAGGTTTATAGATATATAGAATGCTACTAGGTGCAAAGGGCATCGCTACTAGGAGCAAGGACGCTACTCTTCAACTCTTCGCCCTTCTGAGTCCGTAGTTTCTTCGCTAGGGATGCTCCTAGTAGCGATGCCAGGAGCCCCTAGTAGCATCCTTGTTACTACTAGTAAGGCACTTGTTACTAGAAGCGATGCACTTGTTCCTAGTAGCTTCTTGTTATCCAAGAATGCTATCGGACCTCTCATTCCGAAGCATCCGATCTCGGCTTGGACTTGGGCTTGGACTTGGCATCCCATCTGCGTAGCCGAGACCCCACTCATCGAAGACAGAAACCACCTGATTCCTGTCGAAATGTCAACAGCTCCGAACACTGTACCCGCTCGCCGTGGGAGGCCATCGCGTAGGTCATTTCAAAAGTTCTCCTAGCATTGTCATTGTGAACGATGGCGCTGAAGCGACGGGCACGGCCGGCTCCGTCAAAGCCTGCAACGGACGAAAGTGCTGAAGTGTGTTTACTGCGAAGCGCTGAGGCCGAAACCACAGGCTGAAATGCACACAGCCTCATCAGATTCAATTCTAGGGTCCGAAAGGCCTTACCTCTTGGCCATCTCTTGCAACCTTTCACGTTGTTTAGAAAGAAAAATAGTAGGTTGGAGGCCAATTCTGTTAGGAGCAAGGACGCTACTAGGGGCTCCTGGCATCGCTACTAGGAGCAAGTACTAGGGGCTCCTAGGCCAATTTTGTTAGGTTGGAGGCCATCGCCGAATCTTGGAGGCACGCACCTTCCGGCCCGAGGGATAGTAGGCAAAGCCACTGCCATCTGTATGACGAAGGATGGCAGGCTTTCCATCCGCATACCTTCGAAAACGAAGGACGTGGAAGAACGGAAAGGGAACGAGTCAAGAAACGTTAAGCAATGCGTGGAGCAAGAAACGACAAAAGCGCCATGCCTCAAGTCCAGCCTAAGAAAATGGCACAAGCAAATCGACCAAAACAAAGCCAATGAAAAACAGTTCAAAGATTCTTAAGTTCCATACACATCATAGCCTTGTCACAATGATTGACATATTAAAGCATCAACGAGAACAAATGTGTTGACTTTCACAGGCACAATGTGAGAGCGACACGTGTGCCGGGTGGCATAGCGCCCAGTCTCCCATTGCCCCCCTTTCAAGTCTGAAAACGCTGTGGGCCAAACGACACAATGAAATAAGTTGAATTTTAGCAAACACCATCCGGACATCTAACCTGTCTCTATCTATCTCTCTATCTCTCTCTCTCTCTCTCTCTGTGCATCCGAATTTTGGCAGACAATGGACAGCAAGCTGCACGCATCTTGAAAAAAAAGAATTATTCTTCATCTTGACACATCCACCTTGGAGCAAAAGCGCTAAAATTGAACTGGAAAATCTCAACTCGCGTGGGAAACCAAACTGTAACCCCTCCAGAGTTTCAGGGTCAACCTAGAAGTGATGGCCTCCAACCTAAAGCTACCGTTCTTTTGAGATCATCTTGGATAAAATTGGCAGGCACAGGCTGTGCCGCACAGCCGGCTTTACGTCAATTGCAATCAGATATCAGGCTGGGAACCTTTTGCGTCCGCTCAATCTCACGTCCAAGAGGTCTTCCGATCATTAGCCAAGGTCAATCGTCAACTCCTCTGATTGGTCACAAGACTCCTCAGGGAGCTGAGTCTAGCAGTCTAGCCTAAACTTAAACCTCTCCACAAGCTGTCCATGTTGACATGCAAACAAATGATGCTCTTGAAACCCCATTCAGCTATCTTCGCCCTCTTTTCCGCCCTTCACCACAAAACATTATCTTGGCAAAAGGACTACTTCAAACTGTTCGCATGGAACCATCGACTGCTCGTATGCACTTTGGCATATGTGACGAGCTCTAACAGGAACACTGGATTTGGAACCTCAATCGGAACTTGAACATACCAAACCCTTGAGTTCTTTAACCAGAATAGTGACTTGGTGAAATGCTTCTCGCCTCTGGCACATCTGTTAACGTTCCTCTCAAGTTCAAGGTCACTGGCATAGAGGCTTATAGTGGCCATCCGTCTGTGGCCATCCGCAGATGCCACAGTCAAAATGTCAAAACTCTCAGAGTCTGAGCGTACTTGAAGGGGCAGCGCGGCAGGACTGTGACTAGCCTTCAGCAAAACTGCAAATGTTCCCATGGAATATCAACATTCACACAGCATTTTGGGCCAAGGTTCATAAGCTACAGAAGCTGCTTGAACGTGTCGCAGGTCGCAGGAAACAACGAAAGCAAGGCAGAGTCACACGAAAGCAAAAAGAAGAAGAGGTCAAGGAAACAAAGCATCGACCACGAACTTCGCGAAAAAGATATTGGGAGAACACGAGCGAATGGCAGCTCAGCCTTGAATCTTCGTTGCGCGCTTTGTCGTCGTATCACAGCTTCATCCAATCGTCAGGTTGCCCGTGTGAACTGACCCATAATGGCCGCCAATGTGGATGTCTCCACCGCCTGCTCCGCCTCCTCGACTCCCGTGAACGCATGACACCTTATTTCCCTCATACTGGCACGTGGTATCTGAAGGGCAGCATACCTCTTGATAGCTATCCTGGCCTCCCTTGCGAGCATGACTGCGGCAGCAATTTCGGCAGCCGCCACACTTGCCATGTTTACCGTGGGGTGTTCCAATCGTGACATCTCCTGTAGTAATTGAGCCATATGTGCCACCGATATCGATGTCTCGTCCAAGAGCAGGGGCTTCACAGGCTGCAGAACCATTCACAAAGCTACATTGACTGTCAGCGGAGCAGCAAAGCGCGTCGTTATTCAAATTGCAGCATGTCCCACAGCCAAAGCAAATGTTGATACCAAAGATTTTCCATCGTGAATCATCGGCCGATTCCGCAGTGCCTGTCTCTGTCTCTGTCGAGTCTGCCCCACCCGTTGCAGTTTTTCCAGCACGGAGATGCAAGAGCTCCAGGGCAGCATCATCACAATCATCACATTCATTTTGCAAGGCCCGTTTGGCACTTTCAGCCTCCAAAGGAGGACAGTTCTTCCGGATGCAAAGAAAAAGAAACAAAGACTTTTGTGATACATAAAAAATGCATTAGGATGAAACAATGCATCACTCCAACCTCTTGCCTCTGAGACGGAACTTAGCTGCTCCTGCGCTAGCGCCATCACCACCATTGAAAGCCACGAATGCACCAGCAGCCGCATGTTGAGGGCGAACTATTTAGAACCAGGAAGGCCACAACTGAGAAGCAAGCGTTCATAGATTTTCCTGAGTGGCCTGAGTGGAACGTTTCCGCCTCCACAAAAGAAAACAAGAAGTACTTGAGGCGACTCTTACTGCGTCGTTTGCGTGATGTCACTGTTGCTGTTGTTGAGCATACTGGTCCTGGAAGAGCATCTGCAGTCAACCAACTGCAACCTGCAGAAAGCATGTGCAGTTTTGAGGCCACTAGAAGCTGGGCATGGAACAAGATCTCAAGAAACAGAAATCGTCAGAAATTTACGGATGGCACTTCAATATAAAGATCTGTAGGCAAGATTCCTTTTCAAGTAAGCTGAAAGTATCCAGCAATGTAACAACGGGAAGGGCCAGGCCTGAAAACGAACAGAATTGAAAGGAAATGAAAAAAGAGGTCCATTAAGGAAAGTGCACCACGCCGGTCTGGATAATCAAGAGTTTGCAATGAAGGTGTCCCGTCAAGATTGTGCTCTAAGCCGCCATTGTGCTCGGTTGCCTGCTGAATGTCAACACGAGAACACGTCAGTCCGTTGTGGCATCACGTGCCCAAAACACTGGTGATGGAGTGCAGCTGGGCAATTGTAATGTACAATTGCAAACGGACGGGAAAAGGAAAATGGGAGAACTGCAGTTCCACTCGATTTAGGATTGGCCGCCTGTTTGCAACCCCATTTCAATGTGTGTGGAGCTTGTTTGGCTTCGTGCATACAAAGCTCCACCACTGCCTTGCTCAATAGTAGCGATGCCTTTAGTACTAGCTTCTAGCTACTGGTAGTAGTGGCCTCCAACCTAATAGCGATGGCCTCCAACCTAGTAGCTTCTAGCTACTAAAGCATGTTGCCTCAGCTTTGTCTGCATATCATCTACTTCATCTTCGGAGCTTACTTCAGCTTGCGACCGGTTTCTTCTCACTGCAATGCTGTCCTAGTTGGTACCTTACTCGGTGCTTTGGATGCTCACGATCGTGATGGATGGTGATGGATGGGTTTATCATTGTGCTCAAACGGTGGCACAGTAACAAGAAGCTATTAGTAACAAGTGCCTTACTAGTAGTAACAAGTGCCTTACTAGTAGTAACAAGAAGCTATTAGGAACAAGTGCCTTACTAGTAGTAACAAGTGCCTTACTAGTAGTAACAA